ATTACAAGCAGGCAAGAGGACTAGTATTCAACTACCAAGACCACAGGTTGTGGTGAGCAGCATATCTTGGTGGGAGTTCTGCCTGGAGCTTGAAGCTTTGCTGGGAGAGACAGGGAAGTGGAAGTAATGTCTAAAGACTGGCAGCTATCACAAGCAGGCAAGAGACTATATACAGTCTATAGTAAAGTCTGTATAAATATATAAATTTTGTAAAGTCTGTAGAGTGGCATACAACCTTTAAGTCATCTCCATATATTCTTGCACTAGTTAAGATAAGGGGGTGCTTTAGTGTGCCTGTTCTTCTTTTAGTGGCTACTGAGCTCCCAGCAAAACTCCAAGCTCCAGGCAGGACTCCCACCAAGATAAGCTGCTCACCACAACCTGTGGACTTGGCAGTTGCGTACTCGTCCTCTTGACTGTTTGCAATACCTGCCAGTCTTTAGAGGTCACCTCCACCTCCCCTTCCCCGTCTCTCCCAGCAAAGCTTCAAGCTCCAGGCAGGACTTCCACCAAGATATGCTGCCGAAGCTTTGTGAGAGTTCCACATTCCTTTCTGAGAAGCATGTTGAAAACCCCCAGGGGGTCAGAACTAACAATACAAGCTAAGGTCAGTGGAATTCCTGTTTTGGGTTTAGCTGATACAGGAAGCAGACAGACTTTAGTCTGCCCTTATTTAGTCAAGGGAGCACCAAGAGTGGGTTAAGAGCACTTAATAAGGGTTTATGGCTATATGGAGTGGCTGTGGGTACGGGGAGCCTCAAGATCTAGGAGTTTGTCATCTTTGGTTCTTGACGGGGTCGCACTACCCCAGACAGACCCGGTACGTAATCTGGGGGTCCTCCTGGACTCACAACTCCTGCTTGAAGAGCAGGTGGCAGTCGTGGCTAGGAGGGCCTTTGCACGACTTTGTGTTGCGTGGCAGTTACGCCCCTTCCTGGATCAGGAGGCCCTCCGCACGGTCACTCATGCCCTGGTCACCTCTGGGTTGCTACTACTACTGTAATGCGCTCTACATGGGGCTACCCTTGAAGAGTATCCAGAAGCTACAGCTGGTGCAGAATGCGGCAGCACGGACAATTCTTAATGCCCCTAGGAGGGCACATATAACACTGCTGTTGCGTGAACTGCATTGGTTGCCAGTTG